CAGCGCTGCGGAGCGGAAGTGGAGCTTCCGGCGCCCCGGCCCGGCGCAGCCCGGCCATGTCCACCTTCCGGCAGGAGGACGTGGAGCAGCACTATGACATGGGCGAGGAGCTGGGCAGGTGAGCGCGGCCCGCGGGTGCTGCGTCCCCGGGGCCGGAGGGCGCCGGGCAGAGGAGGTGCCGGGTCCCCGGGACCCCTGAACCCCAGCCCGGGGGCCTTGAGATCCTTGCAGGGGCGCGCCAGGACCCAGAGCTTCCCAAGAGGGCTCGGCTGTGTTGAAGCCCCCGGCAACAGGAGAGCGGCACAGAGGAAGAGCCGGTGGTCTCCTAAACCTCGGGGACCTCGCGTGCTCGTGGGGTGAAGGACAACTGGGGGCGGGCGTCAAGGAACGGAGAAACGACTGCTCTGGGCCCTGCAAAGAAAAGCCTGGGGAGCGGGCTGGTGGCTGCAGCACGGCCATCTCCTGCCACTTGCCTTCCCCGGGGGGATGCGAGGGCTGGCACCCCCGTTCCCGCGCCGCGTGGTCAGTCCCGGGCGCTGCTGCCCGCCCGGCGCCGCGTCGCGTTGTGGTGCAGTGCTGCTGTCACGCTGCAGCGACTTGCTCCGGAGCCGGCTGTGTTGTGGCAGTGACGTGAATGATCCCTTGCCTGTGCGCAGGGGCGGGTTGCGATGCTCGCTGCCCTTTCAGGTGCCAGGGTCCGCGAGAGCCTGACGTTCATGCCCGTCTCCTATTGCAGCGTAGCTCCAGTCCTTTCCCTCTTTGGAGCTGGTTTTCTCTGGTCCCTAGAGGCTTGTGGCTTTGTAGCATGCTTCCTCTGTGTCTCAGACACTTGGTGTGTTTGGGGACGGCAGATTCTGTGATGAATCATTTTCCTCTTTTGAAAGAAGCCAGGCCTCCCCACAACGCTGTCCTGTTATGGGCTGCATCATCTCAGAGCCAGGATCTGCACCATCTCGGATGGAGACTGCATCCTGCGATGCAGCTTGCACGGGAGCGCTCCCCGGCTTGCCAGGCTGAGTCGTGGAGTTGCCGTTTGCTGCAGCAGCGTGCGGAGGTCAGCGAGGGCCTTTGTACCACGTGCCGAGCAGCCCGCAGGAGGGCAGAGTCTTGGTCCCGAGCGCCTTATGTTCCCCTGTGGACCTTGCAGCCTGAGGGCCCCAGCCTGTGCAGGGGAAGATCGGCTTTGGCAGAAAGCAGCTGCACTGCAACTTCAGACTAATCCGTCATTGCAGGCGTTTCTAATGAGCTTAGCCTTTTTTGGTTTTTCACAACAGCTTTCTCACAGAACTAAACTACTGACCCACATTTAAGGTTGGGGAGTCAGGGGGGTCCCTTTAAGAAGCCTCCAGCCCCATCCTGACCTAGAGAAGAAGGTGGTGCCCTGTAGCCGGAGCAGAGCAGTCTAACCAGATGTGCAACTGGGCTGCAAGGCCAGGGTGAGGTTTGAGCAACAAACTCCTGTTGCTCATGGCTGTAGTGGCCTTTGCTTAGGTAGGGTCTTATGGTCTCTGGACTGTCTGTAGTCCCCTTTGCTGCTAGCTAGCAAAGCAAAGGAGCATTAGGTATTGGGATGTGGCTTTGGAGCTCTCCAGGATGGGGCAGTGTCCTTACCGGGTGGGGCAGTGAAGTGGATCTGCCTAGGAGCAGCCGTTCCATTGCTCCCACAAAGAGGCAGGCAAGGATCACGGCCCTGGCATAGCAAAGGACTGGTTGTGGGAGGTGGGTGGCGGTGTGTCCGACTGGCTTCCCTGAACCGCGCTGAGTGGGTGCGTTCTGTTGCCCAGACCGTGCTTTGGCGGTAAGAGCCCAGCTCTTCCAGAGGGCAAAACCCCGGTCCCAAGACCTCGGTGCATCCTCTTGCCAGGGTCCCCTGGAGCAGGCTGCTGCTACCCCAGGGGTTCAACGTGGCTGGGCAGCAGGCTGAGGCCTTCTGTTCTGCAGCCTGGCTAGTGGGGTGCCCGAGCCCTGGGCCCTCTGAGGAAGTGGTTCCTTGTTTCACTGCCCCTTCCGCCTTATCAGGGAGCAGTACCAATTACTCTGTCTGCCTCTCTCTCAGGCAGCTGGCAGCTTGTTGCCTGTGATAAGGAAGAGAAGGTGTGGGAGGTGCAAGCTGTTTGAAAGGAGGCAGATGGTTGGACCTTCCTCCGTGCTTTGGGGCTGTCTGGTATTTTTAGAGGGGAGTGAGCATTTTAAATTGAGGGTCTTGGGTGCCTCTTGCTGTGGCAGGCACCCCGGGCACTTACTGGGCCGCGGTAATCGCTCCCACGGCTTGTAAATATTTCATTGCATCGCTGCCCAGGCCGGGTGAGATGAGGACAAGGTGACCTCCTTATTCCTGCCCTTCCTCGAAGATATCCATTTGAGACGTAGCACTGAACAGCTCCATGATTTTTTCCCCTTCTTTCCCATGCTAGTCCAGCCAGGCCGCTGGATTTTGCTGGTGGGAGGTGGAATTAGGAGGCTGTTGGTTTTGGGAAGCCTTTAGCATTTGATCAGCTCAGGCTGTTTCCTATTGAAACAGGAGCCTTATATGGAAAGCTTGGGCCAGGCAGGTGCCTGCCAAATGAAACGTGCCGTGATGTCACTGCTTAAAAATGTAAATAACCAATCCTTGCAGATTCCCAGGCAAAATGAGGAGGGTGTGGGGAGGGGTCACTTGGATCCTCCTTGATGGAGGGAGTGTCTTCGACAAGGTGGAGCTCTTGGGACTCTCTAGAGCTGCCTGCCCTCCCTCGGCTCTTGCCTTCGGCAAGTCTGCAGGGTGGGAATTGAGAGCGGAAGCAACGTATGAGGCTGGGGAGTGAGACTTGGTTTAACCAAGGGGCCCAGGCAGGAGTCCTGGGCTCTGATTTCTTCCCCTGCTGCTGTCCCCTGTGTCTCAGGGACTTTGACTCCCCAGAGCTTCACAGGCCCCCCCGCACTGGTACGATGGAGCGACTCTGACCCTCTGCAGTAGGAGTGGGGTGTGTGTCCTGACCGGGCATCTTTAAAGCACTGGCACATGGGAATTGCTCTGTAGCATCATAGCCTGGGTTTGGTGCACAGGCACGCGCTCAAATCACTCGTCCTGGTGAATGCCACATCTTTTGGGACACTGGCAGCAGCCGAGGTTATTTTGGGGCTTTTTCAGGAGCTCTCTTGATCCACTGGTCTCTAAAGCTTTAATATAAGAAGGGACCATTTTTATTCCTGTTGGACCCCGCCACGGATCATAGGCTCCGTCCTTCCGCCTGGCTCCCCACCAGCCCAGCAACTGCGGTTGTGTCGGCCATTTGTTGCCACTCTCATAGCTGAGGGTTGTAGCTGCATCGGTACAATGATGTACTTCCTGCTGCGTGGGTGATTCATATGTTTCGAGGCAGAACAAAGGATAGCCCCCTATCACATGCTGGAGGATACTGCCAGCGTCCTGTTCCAAGAAGCTAACGGATCCGGCAGAGCCAGGAAGAAATTTTCTTCCTTCGTCCCAAGCACGACTGCAGGATGTAGGGGTCTTGCGGATTTGTTTAAGTGCCTTCTTGTCCTTGCTGTATCCCCCTCCAGGCATTTATTGGACTGATTGGACTCCAGGCCCATCTTGCTGTGGGAGCTCCCAAGCCCATTCACCCACTGAACATACTCCGCGTCTGTTCTCCGAGAAGGGGATTCTGTGTTTCTTCTCCCTTCTCTGCTCTGCTGAAGAGTCTCTGGTGCCCCAGATACTGCTCACATTTGAAGTGGAGCGCAGGGAAGGGAGACGCTTGGCACTTGTTCAAGTGGAAGTGCGTGGAGGCACTGTGGTTCCCTGCAGGGTACCAAGGCCTTGCAGTACCCTCTGTAAGGACGTGAACAAGCAGAAGGCTTGTGCATGGCCCACTGTGGTCCCCAATGCTGCCACGCAGGTGCCAGCGCACACAGTACAACGAGCGGTCTCATTTACCCCCATCTCCTTTCCCCGTGCAGCGGCCAGTTTGCCATCGTGCGCAAGTGCTGGGAGAAGAAAACGAATCTGGAGTACGCAGCCAAGTTCATCAAGAAGCGGCGCCTATCGTCCAGCCGGCGGGGCGTGAGCCGGGAGGAGATCGAGCGGGAGGTGGACATCCTGCGGGAGATCCAGCACCCCAACATCATCACGCTGCATGACATCTTTGAGAACAAGACAGATGTGGTGCTGATCCTGGAGCTGGTCTCGGGTGGCGAGCTCTTCGACTTCCTGGCCGAGAAGGAGTCCCTCACCGAGGAGGAGGCCACACAGTTCCTCAAGCAGATCCTGGATGGGGTCCACTACCTGCACTCCAAGCGCATTGCCCACTTTGACCTCAAGGTGAGACAGCACGTTGCTGTGGGCAGCGGGAAATGTGGGGTGCTCTACCGCTGAGATGCAAAAGCAGGTTCCTTCCCCTCCTTGTGGTCTGAAGCCTGGGAAGAGGGGACAAATGTCCAGGTCAAAGGCTGCTCTTGTACACACTGGCTCCAGTGCTGCCACGTAGATCTGAGTTCAGAATTTGACCCAGGTGATCAGAGGGGTAGATGCTTATGAGTACAGCTAGAAATCCCCAAACCCAGGGGCAGGACCCAGGGCCTGGCATAGAAGGGCATGGGCAGAAGCAGCACCATCAAGCTGTTAGGACAAAGCAAGGGCAGCGATGGCAGCAAAGCACAAACAAGTTCTGGTGTAATCTAAGTGAGCGTCGTTTGAGCTGCGGCTCGGAAGTAGCTAGTGTGCTGCAGGCAAATGCATGAAATAACCAAGCCCAATTGGTCCTGCTTGCATCATGTCTCCTGTGTGTGTTCCCCTCTTCCTGATGTGCTTTGTCAGTCCATATGGCAGGGCCAGTGCAGTTCTGGGCAACCAAACTGGAGCTCCTGCTGTTTTGTGGAGCAGTAGCAAAATACCCAGCTCTATCCAGAGAGTACCCCAGACCTCACATGGCAGGAAGAGCCCAGCCTGACTTAAAGGCCCAAAGCAGAACCCACAAGGCTGGCCACTTGGAAAGGACAGATGATGTGGACATGATTGAGAGGGGGAAGGAGGCTTGGGAACTGCTGACAACCTCCAGGTTAGAACCAGGGGAATCTTAGCGAGCCCGGCCAAGGGGAGATGCGATGAACGGCTTCAACCTTCTCCTCTTGCTGTCCTGGCTTCTTTCCAGCCTGAGAACATCATGCTGCTGGATAAGAACGTGCCCAACCCCCGCATCAAGCTGATTGACTTCGGCATCGCCCACAAGATCGAGGCGGGGAACGAATTCAAGAACATCTTTGGCACTCCGGAGTTTGTAGGTGCGAGGGGTTGGGGGGAGTGTGAGGCTCTGACACCTTATTCTGACCCTGGGAAAGACATGGGGCAACCAGGAGCTGGGTGGCAGTAGGTGATGTCCCCAGTTAGGTGTGAGTTTTTCGCCTTCAGATAGATGCTGAAGGGGACAGAGGAGCAAAGGGAAGAGGAACAAAACCACTGCAGTGAGAGCCAGCCTGGCTGTTCTGTGGCCCCTTGCTTCAAGTTCACTAGCAGAATCCTGTTTTCCTGAACCCACCTGGAGCTTGGCATGCTGGGCACTGCATAGCTCTGTGTGCTACACCGCGCTCTGAAAGAGAGAGGTGTCTGCACTCTGTCTTGTATGGCCATGAGCCTGGGGATGTTGTTGGCATAGCCCTGAGCTGGGCAGCATGCCGATACCTTTGCAACAACCCTTGTCTTCCTGCACTGCTGAATCAGTGCTCGGTCGGGGGTGGGTTGGGTGGTCAGGTGTGGACTGACAGCACCTGCTTTGCAAGGAGCCTTCCTGCGGCCTAACCATGCTTCCTCTCTCCTTCCAAAGCTCCCGAAATAGTGAACTACGAGCCCCTGGGGCTGGAGGCTGACATGTGGTGAGTGTTCAATGAATGTATCGCATTAGAACTTAGGTAAATTGAGAGCCTGGGCCTGGTTCTTTGTTGACAAGTGCCTACGTTACCCCACAGTTAGCCCCAAATGGTGCCTTCATTAGAGAGGCCTGAAGCTGAATATACCTGAGACTGAGCCCTCCTCTTTGCTGCAGGACAGCCTGTCTAGGTCAGGGTTGAAGGGCTGAGTAACAGAAGGGAATTGTCTTTGGTTGATGCACATAAATGCACATACAAGGATGTCACCTGTGGATCAGCCACTTCCTGAGCCAGCCAAGACACTCCTCAGTCAGCCTAGGAGCTGGCAGCTCAGCAAGGAAGTTCTCTGCCTGGGGACTACCCCTGCTCCCTAGCTCTCTTGCGTCTCTGGTGGCATTTACAGACTCCAGTGGGAACAGTGGGGGCTATCTGGGGTTCTCTGATCACAGTCCCTCCCTCTTGTTCCACTCTCCTCCTGTGCCCCAAATAATCCACTGGTGCTTGGTTTAGTGGACCCTTCCCTGTCTGGGGGTGGGGAAGAGGCTTGTACTTTTTAGTGGGCTGCCTAAACGGGGTGGGGAAGGCCTACTTCTATCCTTAGTGCTGGAGGATGAATGGAGTTGGGTTGACATGGAGTAAGCAACAGGGAAAGTTGCTTGCGGGGCAGGACTGTCTGTGCCACCAAGTCTGTGCCCCTGTCTGTGCCAGGGAAGTCTAACTAGCTCATGCAGAAAAGGCCTAACTAGGAAATGACTTGCAGGGCTGTGACCTTGTTTCCTCCCTCTCTTCCTCTTAGGAGCATTGGAGTCATCACCTACATCCTGTGAGTACAGAGGCACTAGGAACGTGGTCTGCTGCATGCAAGGGGACAGAGTTGTGGTGGGCTTTGTGGTGGGCTGGGTTGCAGACCTGGGGCTGCAGGCTGGGGCCTGCTCCCAGCTCTGCCACTGCCTCATGGCATGACTCGGGCATGTCTGTGCCCTTGCTGAGGGTGCGGGGACATCAGCACGGGGCCGTGCGAGTCCCTCTCCTCAGGGCCGGGAACAAATTCGCAGCCCTTGGTGTTTGTTCCGGACAGTAACAGTTGAATTCCCTCCCCCAGCCTCAGCGGTGCCTCCCCGTTCCTGGGCGAGACGAAGCAGGAGACCCTGACGAACATATCAGCTGTGAACTATGACTTCGATGAGGAGTACTTCAGCAACACCAGCGAGCTGGCCAAGGACTTCATCCGACGCCTCCTCGTCAAAGACCCCAAGTATGAGATCTGGGCGCTGTCAGGCAGCTGGAGCTCCCCCCATGAGGCAGCCTCGGGGAGAGTCTCTTGTGTACTCGGCTCCCACATTTGTGCTCCTTGTTGGGCCCATGTGGTGGTGTCAGCTGTTGCCCACCTTCCTGCCCTCTATTGGCACCTCTGCCAGATACCATTGAGTGGCAGAGTTGTAGTGAGTTTAAAAGCTGTCTCCTCTCTTGCCTCTCATCTCCTGTAGTTCCTTGTTGTCTGTCTTCAGTGAGATGCATCTCTCAAATATCCTAAAAACAAAATATCTGCTCATCAAAGGCACTCCATGTGTGTGGGTTTAGTTAGTTTTGGTGAGACCATCATGACTTCATTGCTTTATAATCCCTTTCTGTTACCATGTGGAGGTTGTGGGGTGTGTATAGGTGGAAGCCAGTTCCCTTCTAACGAGCTATAAATCTAGCACTTGACAGAGAAGTCAGTCAGCCTTGGGCAGCAAATGCCTGTGTGTAGGGGCAGAGGGAGCACTAGTTGTACAGTATATGTAGGAGCAAGAGACCGCTGTTTACTTGACCGTTAAACCAGGGCCTAAGAGGAAGATGCCAGCACTCTCTGGGTGCAGGTTTCCTCTGGAGGCTAGTGAAACGATGCCAGAACCTCTGTCCTGCTTCTGACAGACTAACCAACAGGCTTGTATCCTTTCAGGAAGAGGATGACGATTGCCCAGAGCCTGGAGCATCCTTGGATTAAGGTAACAATGCATGCCTGCTGGCAGGCTGTCCCTTGGCTTTCCCCAGAGCGGCCAAATGCCCAACTTCTAGCCAGGTCAATAGAACTGCTTATGCACAGCACCTTGAGTAAATCTGGGGCTTGACTTTGGTTCTGAAATTGCTGCTCTTTGCACTGGAGGGACACAGTAGGTCTGACCTGGCATCACGCTTCAGCAATGGAGAAGCAAACAAATGTCCATTGACCAGAGAGGTCAGTGGAGAATGGATGCAGCAACATCTAGGGGAACAGGATCTGGAGGAGCAGAGCCCTGTCTGGCCGTGAAGCTAGGGGTGAACGTGTTTGGGGAGCGCAGGGAGGTGGAGGGGAGCAAATGAGCAGCCATGCCTCCACCCAATGGCTTGTAGCTTGAAACCAGTGGGATTGTGTTACGGGGAGGGTTTGGCTTGGCCTGGCTGCCAGCAGTCTGCAAAGGCCTATGGCCAGAAGGTGGGAGAGGGACTCGTGGGATGGTTTAAACACCTGCTCAGATGAGCAGGTGGAGGAATGGGGAGTGTCAGGCCCAGCAGCCACCAAGGGCTTAGTGGTCTCCTCTGCCCCATTGCAGGTGATCAAGAGGAGGAATGTCCGCAACGAGGACAATGGCAAGAAGCCAGAGAGGCGCCGTCTCAAGACCACGCGGCTCAAGGAGTACACCATCAAGTCTCACTCCAGCATGCCCCCTAACAACACCTACATCAATTTTGAGCGCTTCTCCAAGGTCATGGAGGAGGTGGCTGCGGCCGAGGAGAGCCTGCGCGAGCTGGAGAAGACCAAGAAATCCTTCCGGGAAGACGTCGAGGCCCTGCTCTCTATCTACAACGAGAAGGAGTCGTGGTACAAGGAGGAGAATGAAAGCATCAGCCAGGACCTGCGTCAGATCCGCCAGGAGCTGCAGAAGACAGAGGCCCTGAAAAAGCAAGCCCAGGAGGAGACCAGGAGCATGCTGCAGGCAGCCAATGGGCTCAAGAGGCGCTACCGGAAGCTGGAGAACCGTTACGAAGCGCTGGCCAAGCAGGTGGCCTCGGAGATGAAGTTTGTGCAGGAGCTGGTGTGGTCCCTCGAGCAGGAGAAGCTGCAGGGCGGGGAGGGAGACTGCAGCATCCGCTAGCCTTCTTCTGCACTGGTGGAGCGGGTGGGGGGAAAGGGGGCTTGGTGGGGAGAGTTCCTTTGGCACAGCTTGTATGGGGAGAGATGGCCCATTGACCCAGCTGGGCTTTGTCTACGGAGCAGGAGCCCAGTGTGCTCCATCATAACGGCATCACCTGGGAACAGCCTGAGACAACGTTCCTATCATGCAATGCTCTTCATCCAAGCTGTCACCTTCTGGGTCCACTGTATGCTGGGGTACTTGGTATTCCCCCCACATTGCCTCTACACTCTGTTCGTGTAGAAGGCGGTACTGTACAATCTGATGGTTCTCTCTGAGTCAGTCTGGTCGGTCCCTGTCCGAGGCGGTTAGAGCAACAGCCGCTTCCAAGGTCTGGCTGACTGGCGTGCTCCCTGCTCCGGGAGCTGGGTCGTTCCTAACTCTAAAGTGAAGAGCCTTTGGCAAGGCGCTTCCTTGATGCTTTTCTTTGGTGGCCACCTGCAGCTCAGCTGCGACTCCTCTTTTGACTCCCTGCAGCCATTGCCAGGTCTGTCCTGACCTGGGTACTGCAACTTTTCAGGCTTCAAGGGCATCTTGGTAGCAGAAGCAGGCATTGAGACACTTCATCATAGGACCCTCTCTGCAGAGGGACCATGAGATTGTCCTTGAAAAGCTGTCAGGTTCTGAGGCCCAGCTGAAAGCCCCCATGGGGCACGCTCTCTGGTGTTGCAGGGACCGTCTTTCTCCTTCAGACATGCCAGGAGCCTCCTCCTCAAAAAGCCTGGCTCTTGAGTTGTTGACAAAGGCAGTTTGTCTTCACTAAGCTCTTCGGCCGAGCCGTGGGCCCGTTACCAGCCAGTGCTCTCACCAGCACTGTCTTGCCAACTTTCTTCCTGCTGTGGGGCTGTCGGTCACTAGCCCAGCTGCTGCTCTTCCCTCCCAGTTACTTCATTTATCTTTTGCTTTGCTCTGAGTCCAGTCTCTGAGCCAGATTGCTCTTGGGAATCTCTTTGCTTTTGAGGCTTTCTCTGCTGTGAAGAGCAGGTGACGGGTGCTCCTGGTAAGGACTCAGTGTGTTTTTGACACTGGGGATTTGCTTGACTAGCACTTCCTGCTTCCCAGGTTTGACTGGTTCCTCCCTAAGCCCTAGCTGGAAAAGTGAGTGGGTGAGATGCCCTGGGCCTGTGCTGGGTTGTGGAAGTTTTCATAGACATCAGGGCTGGAAGGGACCTCGGAAGATCATCGAGTCCAGCCCCCCGCCCAAAGGGCAGGAAGTCAGCTGGGGTAAAGTTAAGGCCTCTCGGGTCAAATTCCACCACCTACTTGCCATGTCAAGATTTGGTTTTGACCACCTGCTAGCAGACGTACAAAGGCCTTGTTTGATCCCACCCCCCAGCTGTCTCCTGGCTGGGATCCCAAATCCAGGCAGGTGTCCTCTGGAGATCTCAGTGCTCTCTAGCACTCATGTTGCTGGCTCTGCAAGGGCTGCTGGGTAGGTGCTGGTCCACGGCCCCTACCCGTGCCTGTCATCTGGATCCTCCTTGTATCTGCTGCTTGCTCTGGGACTGCTCCATCCTCATTGCCTCTGTTTCCACTGCTGTTCATAATCTTTTCCATGTTTTCAGTGCTCTCCAGTGAAGGTCTTCAAGAGCAGGTTGGACAGACACTTGGCTGGGATAGTTTAGTCCAGGACGATCCTGCCTTGAGCAGGGGGCTGGACTAAATCACCTTATGAGGCCTCTTCCAGCCCTAGTGTCCTGTGATCCAAAGATGCTTCCCCTCAGTTCTCAGAGTAGCCAGTTCCTTCCCAGCTGGTCTTTGCTGTCATGTGGCATCTGCTTTCCCTGCATTAGCTTCATGCACCTTGGTCTCAAGCTCTCATAGCTTGTCAGAGGCTTCTGTATCCAGCAGGGACCTGGGGCAGGAACTGGAGAGAGACCAGCAAGGAGAGGGAGTCTCTGGCTTAGAGCTGGTTCATCCCCCCACTGTCTCCATTGCTTCCCTTTATGCCTTTTCCATGTCACCTGCTTGTGACCCTGTGCCCTGCTGCTTGGCACTGCCTGATGCTCCAAGCAGGATGTCTTCAGCAAGGCCAAGGTCCCTCTGAGCCTGTCCCTGGGTTCCTCTTCAAACCACAGCTTGACACTCCCCACACTTCCCTTCTCCTCTTTCCTCCGTATATCTGACCAGCACCTGATCTGGTGCACGTGTCCAGGTGGGACCTATGGTCATTACCCACTTCTTCTTGGCCCTGTCCTCTTACACGTGCTCCCAGAAACTTCTTGCCAGCCCGCTGCCCCCCCAGCCTTTCCATCCAAGTGTCGTTCTCTCTGTTTTATGTCTGCGGGCACCAACTGGCTTTCATACTCCTGTCCTGCGTAGCTGCCTTTCTCGCCGCATGCACGATCTGTTCCTCCGCTAGGAGCTCAAAGCACTTTCAAAGCCCCGTCTCTTCCCCACTGCATCCAGATGTCGGGACTCTTCAGGTTTAGAGGTGAGTGCACAGCTGAGGAAGTGGCACAAATGGCAGATGAACCCAGGAGTCTGGACTCTCTCCTTATCCCTGTCCACATCCCAGCGGTCCTTCCTGCCCTCTGAACCATGCTTCCCCTTGCTGAGCCCTCCAGCTCCTCTGGGGCCTGGGTTTTCCGGGCAGCTTCAACATCCAGCCTTGCACTGGAGCAGCACCAGGCTCGCTCTGGTGATGGAGCTGTCTTGCCACAGAGCAGCTGCTTTTCAGTGCAGTGCAAATGTATTAGCCCACCCTTGTATTTCAGGTCTCTCGGCTTTGACTGTCGGCCCTGCATGCTCGCCAAACCCAGGTTCCTCCCAACCGAGATGAGCCAGGGTCTGCTTGAGAAAACCAGCTAGTGTTACAAAGATCCTGCCCACAGACAGGAAAAGCTCTCTCCCAGCTGAAAATGAGGGGGGCTTTTAACATGCTGTGTGCAGCTTGTTATGTCTCTGCTCGTCTGAAGGCTTCCGGAGCAGGGAGGGGAAGAATGCGAAAAATGCTGTGGATTTCCCTGGCTTTTGTGCAAGGTCTTTGTTAATGATCCCTCCAGAGGGGGTTGGAGCTGAGAGGAATTTGTTGCCAACTTGGCTTTCAAAGGAGCATGCCTGAGCTCCAAAGCAGTGGGCTATGTGGCTTGAGAGTCCTCTCCGGCTTCTCTGTAGTGACCCCCGTTGTTTTTTAAATCCGGTTTTCCCTCTCCTTCGGGGTTGTGCATGTCTGCGACCAAAGACTCTGACTCAGAAGAGCCCGATCCTACCAGCTGCCACGTGCACTCGCATCCAATGGACTTTTTTGGGAGCAAGAGAGTGCTTGGTCCTGCCTGGGATCAGGGCCTCAGGTCTACAGGGAATATCACTTAACCTCTGCTCATGTCTTGTTGCCAGGGTCCAGGACCAGCCAGGGTAGAGGACTCCAGCAATTGGGGTCCAGGCTAGGTTTCCCAGGGGAGCTGGTCGGAGCCTGTGGCAACTGCATGTAGAAGTCCCTTATGCTAGTTTAAGAGAAGGTTTAAGGACTTGACCTTCATGCTGTAGAGCAGGCAGTGTTGCTGTCGGCTCTCCTTGCACAGTGCTTTCCCTGATGCACTTATCCCATTCCACTTGTATTAACCTTTTCTTCTGTGCCATCACTGCAAAGGTCATGGATCCTCCAGGCCAGCCCCATGCTTGCTTGTAGACATGGCATGGGGCCCTTCACATACCTCTCAAACACTCAGCTGTATTGTCTGTGATGCCACCTTGGAGGCTAAATGGACTGCTGCGTTTGTGCCAACCGGAGCCTGCGTTTGACATACTGGAACACCCCACTGCCGGGCTCTGCAGGTGCTTTCTAGAGGACATCTGGAAGTGGCGAGTAGATCAGTAGAGAAGTGAGGTCGGGGAAGGACGCGGACTGGCTGGGACCTTGTGCTGTTCCGAGTTGGTACCAAGCAAGCACCTGGGCCCTAGAAAGCGCGTTTTGTCCGGGCTTCTCATGGTGTCCATGTGCAAGATCCAAGTGTCCTTTCTGTCCCCACCTGCTCTGCATTCAGACGCAGCTGCAGAACTGAAGAAGAAGCGTTGCGGGCACTTCTCATGCTCCAGATTTCCTAATGCCTTTACCCCAAATGTTTTCTACCTAATAGGGGTTGGAGAAGGCAGGTGCGGCTGTGGGGAGCGGGGCATAAGCACCACATGGGCTGCGGGGGTCTGGTCTCTAGTGGCTTGGGTTGGGTAGGAGCTACAGGTCCTGTTCTGGTTGCATTGCTTTGCAGCCCCCCCACACCAAGCAGGAATCAATAGCTGGACGTGGTCTCTGCTTGGGTGCAGGAATTTGGTTGTGTGGTGCAGACGTTTGTCCTGGGTTTGCCTGCCCCTGGGGAGAGGAGATGCAAGATGCTTGCCTTCTAATGGCCCTGTGCCACCTCTGTTACCCGTGCAAGAAGAAACTTTCCTAGGACCAGGGCTTGGCACAGGGGTGGAGCTCAGTGCTTTTGGCTCTGTGTCCTTGAGACCAGGGCCAGAGCAGGTTGCTTCCTGCTGGGCTTTCCATGCCCCTTGCGAATTCCTGCTTGCACGTCCTCGCTCAGTCTTGCTCGTGCTGGAGGTCCCAGGCCAGGTGTCTGGGTCTGCAGGCCCAGACCCTGGCATGGTACCTGGGGTGGGGATTAGCTGTTCAAACTGCTGGCATTTCCTTCTGTGGGAAGCTGATCTGGCTCGTTCACAGACAGTAATCGCTCTTCCAGCCTCTTGGTGCAGCAAGCCTGGGCGAGACAGATTGCGGTCTGGCCCGAGAGCCTTCCTCATGGACGTGGCTCGCTGGGAAGGGAGTGAGATGTAGCACGCACAGAACTGTTGGATGCGCAGAGCTGTTGCCTTCCCCCAGGGGTGGCAGCTGCACCCCCTACACCCACGATAGAGAAATGGCCTCGTTTGTGGTGCAGATGCCCCTTTGGGCAGCCAATGCCTTAGCTGTTGTGCAGGTCTGGGAAGGAGGCAGCCAGTCTGTTCAGCTTTGCCCAGGAGATGGCCGATGCCTGCTGGCTTCTCTCCGGGCAGAGCCCAGCGGGCTCCTTTGACCTCACACGTCAGGCCCCCTCTTGCCGTGCCAAGTCCTGTATAGCTGAGGGCTCTGCTCGCCCCCGACGGGGACCTGGCTTGTGTTCTGACCTAGTGAAGCCATATCCTCTCCTGCGGTGTGACATTCAGTCTGATACCAATAGGTCATGCAAAATGGTCTGTATTTGAAAGGAATAAAAGGTTTCTATCCGAAGGCACCGGCATCCCTGGTTCTCCCTGTGGGGTGATGGGGTGGGGGCACGGGCAGCCTTTCACTGCTTGGGGGTCAGTTTGAATCCGACCAGTGGAAACAGCAGGGCCATCAGGTCTGCTTTGGCCAGCGTAGCTCAGTGCCTGCTCCCTGGTGGGTGCCAAGCCACCTGCTCCCTTTGGCACTGATGGGCAGGCTGTTTGCGGTCCTTGTGCCTTGCAGGTGTCCGTGGACGCTAAATCCAAGCCATTTTAAAAAACAGCCATTCAGCTCTCCCCAGCGGGATGTGCTGGCACTGCCGACGAGCTCTCAGCAGCTTCGTTCGTCTGGCTCCAAGTGTCCGCATGGGGCAAAGGGGCAAAAAACGTCCCTCTTTGCTCTATGGCAATGTCCTGGCAGGAAAACCAAGCTAAGTTGCAGCTCCATGCTAACCCTGGGGCTTAGCCTGTGTAGGATAATAGCACATGCTCACCTGGGAGCCCCCTTGCTCACCGGGCTGCGGCTTCTCTCCTCCCACACAGCAATTTTTCCTGAGATAAAAATGCCGCCTGGCAGCTCCCAAACAGCAGGAAGCCCCCAGTCCACCTTTCTCTCCTGACCAGGGACAGAGGGCAGGATACCTTGGTCAAGGGTGATCCCAGCCCCTACTGAGCAAGGCAGCGGAGTTGTGTTGAGGATGGAGGAGGGGTCGTGTTGTGGATGCCAAGCTTATGCATTGGGTGGGCTCTGGCTCTGACTGGGAGAGCACTGGGGTTTCGAGGCCCTTGGATGCAAGACGTGGGCTGTGCCCTGCATGTGGGCAGCATCCTGCGCTGCTAATGGGCACCTCTTGCCCCGAGGCTCCCTGGAGCAGCGTGTGGTGGGGGAAACCTTCCGCTAGAGGTCCTCCGGCTCCTGCTCTTGGCACCAAACCCCCCAGCTTCGTGCTCTGGCAGCTGCTGCTTTAGGTCTTGGTCTGAGGACGTGTCTGACTGCAGCAGCCTGCTGTCAGAGCCAGCTCACGAGGGCTGGGGAAGCATCGCCCTGCAGCTAACATGGCTGGGCCGGACAA